ATATATATATATAACTGGGTCGGATCCAGATCCATACCTAGACAGGAATGAGATCCGAAATTTTGCTTTCGGATCCAAACCAGGTAAATTCTTACTCTACAAAATATCCGAAAGTTTTCACAAGAGTTTTAAGATCACAAAATTAGCATGCTCCTTTACTCTTTGGTATATAATTTTTCCAATAGTTTGTATAACAAGATACTATTTACTATTATTATAAGGATGTCACAATCGGTCTTAATTATTAGATGTCAAATAGGATGGAATGGAGTATAACCCAAAGTTCGAAATTTTTTTTTTTTTTTTTTAAACTTTGAATCTAATCAATGACATAGTTGTAATCACCCAATTTAAAATCTGATAGAGAAGAGTGATTGTGACATTTTTGTACTAAAAGTAAAAGAAAACGGTTTGATAAGGTTGCAACCTTATGAATATAAGTAAAGCCTCACTCATACATCTTTGAAAATTACAATTCAAGCATTAAAAAACCTTTACATCGATCATCTTGGTTTGAACGTTATGGTTATGAAAACATAAAAGGATTTCAAGCTCTAAAAATAGTGTATATTTTAACAAACTATCTACAACATCTATTTAACCTAGAAATATGTGCTCATAGATCACCAAGATCTATATCTTTTTTTATTTTCGAATTTTATTATTGATTTTAAAGCTATCATGAAAATTTCCATGGTTGAAAGTGTGTTATGGACGAGGACTTGACATGGGGCCTTATTTTGTTTTTATAAAGCCTAGGCAATATAGAAACCTCACCCAAAATAATAAAACTAAAACAATTTTAAGATGCTAGCTCAAAAGCGACGGTTGATACAAATTGCCCCTTTGCACATGTCTTGGTGGAGGAACAATGATGCCAAACTTCCAATGTTTTGGGTGACAAGATCCTAATTACTAGGACTTGTGCGAAGGAATTCTTCTCAATTCATCTTTTAAGGGTTTTATGTTAAATTCCTTTTATACACTAGCAAAAGAAGAGAAGAAGATCTTGGGTAAAAAATCTCCCCATTCGACGGCCAAGGTTAAGTGAGGGATTTTGGTGACACTTTTTTAGATTAGTTGTTTTTGTTTTGTGCACGCACAAATGTGGTCATGAGCGCATACGTACACGCACGCGTGCTTGTTACTAATTGATCTTAGAAGGCTTAAAGACGTGATTTAAGAGCTTTTGGGTCCACCAAAAACACTCTTAAGCAAGAGTTTAACCCGCAAGTCCAAATGAAAAATTTGAACCCTTTGACCACCAAATCTTTTGGAAACTTTCTTCATCATTTCTAGTCCAGCTTTCGCCATCATTCTTCTACCTAATTTTCTCTCGGCCAAGTGCTTGTTTGTTGGGAAAGTGCTTTCTGGGCCCTTCAAAAGTTCATTCTATGATAAGCTTTTTTGATATGTCTGGCAAAGCCTTTTCATACCCACCAACGGATGAAGCCGCTTTTTCAAAAAAAATTTAGAGCATTGTAGAAAGTACTTTCCCACCTGTTACAGCAACCACTTGTTTCCCAGAAAACAAATATGAGAAAGTTAGTTGTATTTAACAATTGCTTTTCTGAGAAACAAACATGGGAATAAACAATTCAATTGAAATAAACTCTCTTGAAGAATTATTTCCTGGTGAGAAAAGCGTGCCCAGGAAGTTCATATGTTTCTCAAACTGATGAGCTCAAATAAGGTTGAGGTGAATTTGGTGTTTGCAGTGGCCAGGATCATACTGTGCACAATCGGGCAAAGGTTGCTGCCTCCCAACAACTGGTGAGCCTGACGAAAACTTCTTCATTGTCGGCCTGTACGCCACCACCTCCGTCGGTGCCGTGCTCAGAAAGTGCCCAAACGAACAATCCTTTGACTTCTCAAAGGTACTACTCCCCTAACCATGGCCTAGAAAATGGTTAACACTACATAAATTAAATTAGGGCAAGCGTTCTATGCTTATGTAATTAAATTAGGGCAGGCTTTATATGCTTATCCTACATTATAGAAGTTCTATCCTCCCCTTATCCAACCCTCCATTTTGAATGGAGGGCTAAGATTGTCGCAATCTCAATGTCAGGTCTCTACACTATTTTATTTTTAATTTTTTTCTATAAACTATTTTGACACCAAATTATAGACGTCCATTCCTCTATTAAACTCGCATTAGCAAACAATATAAAAAAAATATTTGCGATAAAATAAAATGACCAAAATACCTTTGAAGGTTGGGTATTTTGGTCATTATATTTTATCAAAAAATTATTTTTAGTATTTTTTATAAGTGCGCCCCAATGAGAAGATAACACATACCGAATTTCATATTCATACAATTTGTACAAAAAACAAAAACCTAAAAATAAAATACTTTGAGATGTCGGATCTAAGATCAAACGACAAGTGGCTTTCTTGATCAAAATTGGACGGCTGGATAGTAGGGGGAGGATGGAACTTCTATACTGTAGGGGAATCATAGAAACCTTTCCCATTAAATCAGGGCAAGATGGTAGAAACAAGAAATAACAACAAGTACTTTCACAAATACTGAAAATAGCCACCCTTATCTTAAAAAAAAAAAGAAAGGGCTACTATTAAAGAAAAGAAGGTCATTTTTTGAAATAAAATACTATAACTTTAAGACATTTCTCCATGCTTATCAATGTTTTTTTTTTTTCGGTCACTTTCCTGTTTTACCGTTTTCTCCTCTAATTTTGAATTTATGTTTAAATACCCATTTCAAATTATAATAGTCACTAGTGGTGTCTTAAAACTCGGTTATTTTCTAAAACTTAACAGAGAAACTAACTCCTAAAAAAGTTTATAACTGAGTTTTAAAACAAAAAAAAAACATAAATTCAAAATTAGAGGTTATAACTGAGTTTTTTTTATAAATTTAAACAAAAAAAAAAAAATTATTTTATTATTTTATTTTTAAGTTTATCTTATGTTTTCTTAGGCCGTCTTTAATTCCCCTCCCCATGAATCCCAATTAATTTTTTATCTTATTTTACTTATTTTTTAATATTTTATGAATCAATGAGTTGGACCAATCTGAACCCAATTTGGATCACCAATCCAACGATCCAATATGGATTTGTGGGTCAATGACTTGCCCCACTAATCAAGCGTTTTAAAACACTGGTCAATATTGTTATAAAACTACTACTGTGAAATAGACATGGACTAGGCCCATTCTATTGAGGTATTTGTTTTTTAAACCTAACAGCGAACTTCTATTCGCTATTGTGATTTTCAATCCAATTCCTTAAAACAGTTTAACAATTGTGATTTTTAACCTAGGGCCCTTAAAAGCTTAGGCACGCCTATTGTTGGTTAACAACCTCTTCTCCATAATCTGGATCTTGGACTTCATTTCAACAATTTTTAGATTTTATTTTATTTTTGCATAGTTTCATCTTAGGCACAAATTCCCTCCCTCATCTCGAAAACAAGAAAAAGATCACGATTTTCTAAAACTTAACATAAAAACTAACTCCCAAAAGGAATACAATGAAAGTCTTGGGAAAAGTGTTGATGTAAAAAAAGTCCGGAAAATTAAATTCGGCTGTCTTTCGATTTTAAACAAGAAAGGAATAATATGATTGTAAATCAAACCATAGAAAGAAGAAACTCCATTTCTTCATTCATAAAAAAATCTCTACCAAATATCCAAGTTCCTCTCTAAGGTGAAATTCCACCTTAAATACAAGCCAAAAAGAAATAATAAGAACAACAAAAAATAGACTCTCTTTCTCTCTCTCTCCCCCACATTAATCTATCTCTATTTTAGCCATATCTTCCCCTCAAATCTTAATTCCCATAAAAATATGAATCTTTCTTTTACCTTATCAACTCCTCCACAATTCACCCATAACCTCACCTACAAACCCAATAAAATAGGAACTAATTAAATCTTAACTAAATACCCCTTTCCAAACTTTTCTATTTTCTCTCATAGATCATATTTTCTAGAAAATATTTCTACCCTTTAGGTAATCAACCCTCTTTCATCATTCTCTTTCTAATTATCTAACAATCCTATCAAAAATAGAATCATGGAATCCTACAAACTAAAAAATCCATACTAAATAAAATAAAAATTCATTTTGAACCCATATATGAATATCTCTAAAATTCAGTACCAACAAAAAATAAAAATCTTAGATGCAATTTGCATCAAGTGGTAATATTTGTTAGAGGAAATTGTACATGTACAATAGAAATTGTATTTTTTTTACGGTAGTTTTATGGTAGGAATCAAACAAGAGATGCAGCGTTGCTAATGCCTACAACTAACAACTCAAAACTCAAGCCCAAGCCCGATTCCTTATTTAAATTGTAGTCCATGCTAACCGCACCTCAAAAAACCTATGTTTTTTAGAGATTGAGGAACTAAACTCTATAAATCCATCCTACGGACCTCCAAGATAAAGATCTTGGAAAAAAATGTCTTTGGAGCATTTAAATGGTTTAGTTTGATTGTTCTCATTTAATACAGACCATATATTTCAGGATCTTGATGAAACTGTCTAATACAACATTCTATTGATTTTTTAGGTGCAGTTATAATCACCAGACTACAATCGCAGTCATATAGATAATTGGAACCTTTTTTTAGAGATTTGTAGATATAATAACACATGTATGGCAATTGACTTAACACATATAGGAAAGGAAATGCTTGATGGAAGGATCTACGCAACGCCTAAGGGCGAAATGCTATAGTGATTTCGTCCATAGGCCAATCGCTGTCCAAAAAAAATTGGAGGGCATGCATTTTTCGATCGCCACAAACCTATCATGTTCGTGGCAGCTACTGTTATGGATATACTAGGTCCATGACGGTCTAAAAATTCACACGGAACCGCAACGAACGGCGCCATTCGTTGCGGGTCCATTCAATAAACTGCCACGAACACTACTTTAGATTGATTGAGCTGGAGGTTGATTAAAATTTGTTTGCTTGTGATTAAATTGAATGGGATAAGTTGGAGGACCTGGAGGAGAGTCTGTCTGATGTGTGGTCTAGCATCAAGTGCCCAAGCAACAACGGACAATCAATGTGGAAGTCCTTGTGGAAGAACAATGGGGTCTGTTCAAACCTCGGCCTATTTGAGTACTTTGTGCAAGGCATAATCATCCACCGTGAAATCAACCTCATCAAAGCCCTTAGAATCCATGGTCAGTTACTCCTAAACCTTGGTTTTGTTATCCTAATCCCTCTAATTAAATAAGTCTGGCTATCATGCACCACGCACGATAAGTGGTACTTCTTCGATAATAGATCACATGTTCAAATAATCAGAATGGCAAAACATAAGAGGAAACACGAAGTAATATTCCACTATAATCTACATCATTTAATGGAGTAAGATCAAATAGAATACATATCTAATTTTTTTGTGCTTGTAGTTTTTATCTTCACAAATTAATCAATGTAAAATTCCCATCTGTAGTTGTTTCATGGGTTCATATTTCCGCAAGAACATGATAACAAATAGTTCAGAGTTGATCTTCAGGTGAGGGTAGTGTAGATCTCATACGGGTTTTAATAGTTATTGATTTTGTTGAGAATGTGGGGAGCATTGCAGGCATTGTGCCAGATGGTCGACTATACCAACTTGCAGACATTAAAAAAGCACTGAAGATTGAGTTAGGGGAGGAGGTCGGGATCCGATGCAGCACCAACTTGGAGGGAAATTTTCAACTCTATGAAGTCTATGTCTGCATCGACAAACACGATGCCACAAGTGTGATACCTTGCCCGAGCTTGCCCAACTTTAAATGCTCTGATGAGATACGCTTCCCTACCTTCGATATCCAAATGCTCGAGAAGAATGTGACCAGCAACTCACTCAATCTCCAAGTTGAATGATGGCCATGGCACTAAGAGAACATGTTGCTTCTCTTCTCATTTCAAGCTCATCTAGTATGGTGTCCCAGAATTTGTAGTTATTTTTGGGCTTGATATGAATAAGATTGTGGTTTCTCTTACAAAAATTCCAATAAAAGCAAGAAAAACAATGCAAAGCTAGAAAATTAATGTCTCAAATAATAGAAAGAAGAACAAAAATAGAAAGAAATTTAATGTCCCAAATAGTAGAAACAACTAGAAAAAATATTTATGAACGTAACAATGAAGAAAAATAAAGAATAACTACTATGAGGGGATGAAATAAAGAAAAATAAGGAATAACTACTATGAGGGGATGAAATAAGTAGGAGGAGACTCTTGCAAGCAACAACCACTTCATGGGAACCTTCTAGTTTTATAATAAAGCAATTGGGCAACCTTTTCAAAATAGAGGAAAATTATTAAGGACATTAGCAAAAATATTCTTATATTCCCAAAAATTTTAAAAATATCGGATTTTTTAAGAATTGTGTTCATACCCAACATTCTTTTGTATATAGACCCTAGATGCTCTTCACAACCCAGACTTGCCTTAGTGGTTTCTCTTCGGCGTCACAACCCTATTCAAACTGTGATGCATTATTATGGCCCTATTAAGGTTGTGATGCCCAATACACTCTGTGCATCAAGGTTCTAACCGGGTGGTGATGCCCAATATACCCTGTGTATTAGGGATCTAATAGGGCAGTGATGCTCAATGCATTGTCAACTATATACCCTTGCATGCATCAAAAGCATCCAAGGCACCAAGGCCCATGATGGTGCATTATCACAACTCTAATAGGGCAGTGATGCCCAAGAATCATGGCAGCCTATTAAGGCTGTGAAGGGCACTTTGAGTAGACAAAAGGTATGGATGTAATTAAAACAAAAGTATTTTTTTTATTCTTGAAAAATATACAAATATTTTTTTATAATTTTCAAACTACTATGACTCTCTTAGATGAAACATCTCCTTCACCTATTCTTCACCTTTGGCATACCCAAAGCTAGATTTTTCTATAACCTCTCAAAGTTTCTCAAAACTCTTGATCTTAGGTTCTGATCTTGTCTTAGGCAGTTAAAACTTTATGCTCAAAATTACAGGGCATCCTCCCTTTCTTATTTAAGAGCTCTATACTCTTATAGTTGTGATTATCCTAGGGTTTCTAATGGTCTTTATCCTTCGATGTGATTGTTCAATCTCACCTCCTTGGTCTAAATACTTCACATCCTAGGTTTGGAGGTTGATGCTCTTTTTCCACCTAAGTTCTCTCTCTCTCCCCTAGGGATTTCTTTGAGGTATCCACTCTCTCTAGATCTCTAGGATCTAAGCTTCAAGATCCCTTCAAAAGGTCTTGATTACTTGATCTTAATCTCCATTTTGTTGAGAATCAAGTGCTCTTTTGTTATTGGATAGTGCCCTTGTATCAAAGCACTCTCACCTTAGAGCTCCCTTTTTTTTAATTACTTAGTCTCTAAGTCCCTTAAAGTTAAGATCCTCACACCAAGGTTTGGAACTAAAGCTTTATCTCACTCTCTCTCTCAACCTAGAAGTGTCTCAAGCATTCATGGCAGGATATCCATTGCACCGGAGCACCTAAGTATCCCACAAATGACCAAGGCATGGTCATTTTGGGTTTTTAGGGGGTGAAATTAAAGTTTTTAGGGCAAAGTTTCTTTCCCGTTTTTGGGCTTTATTCCACCATCCATTTGGCTTTGAATGAACTTATTATTGGCCTATTTAATGTGGTTATTGGTCAAATTTCTTTCTACACATTTGCGTATAATTGAATCAAACATCATACAGTTCAAACCCTATTAGAAAGGGAGTGTATACTGGACGTCACCAATAGTACTAGCCATTAAATGTCAAATTGGATAGCTTAGGTTGTGCCACAAAGTTGGAGAAATTTTTTTTTGGACTTGGAGTTTAGTCACCGATACACTCAAAACCATCTGATTTGAAATAAGATAGACATAAGTGATTATGACCTCCTTGTATTAAGAGTAAATGGTCACTTTGTATACTTTTCCATTAAAAAAAATCTCATATATTGGGTGATTTGAATTGATCAAATGTTCTCGTTCAGCTTGCAATTGTGTGCAACAATCCTATCTATGATCTGATGTTTGCAGCCGATATTATTTGTAGTATTTGGCCATAATATTCATACCCTGGTTTGAATTTGATATAGTTGAATTTAATATCATTCAAGTTGGAATTTAAACGCGTCCATATTTTGGCTGCATGCTAACCGCGTCCATATTTTGGCATCCATAATTTTGTTGCATGCTAACCGCGTCTATATTTTTATTCCTCCTTAGTATCCTTGCCTTTTGAGGCTTTTAAATTTAAGTGAGAACCTGGATGCTCAATAGGTGAGGGGCATGGGGCCCACTAGGGGTCCTAGGCCTATAATCCCTTCTCTATCGTGTTCTTTTCTTACTTGTTTTGACCAAGTTAAGTTGGAAATTATTTTGAAAAAAGCTTGGAATGTTATGAAAGCTTGTTCAAGTGTTATAGAAGTTTTTTAAAGCTTCTATATTTCTATTAAAGCGAATGAGTCATGAAAACCAAGGGATAAAAGTTCTAAGTCCTTACCTCTATCATTATGGTTGATTTAGGGAATGAGACACTAAGACAAACAACCACTTTTAGGAAATAAGACACTAAGACAAACAACCACTTTTAGGAAATAAGACACTAAGACAAACAATTACTTTTCATTATGTAGATCAATACGGACCAAGTAACCAGATTGAATATTAAATAAGGTGGAAAACTTTAACCCATAACCACTATAAAGGTCGTGGCCCATGATTTAATATTAGAAAAACTTCTATCTCTCTCCCCTTCACATTTTTTTCTCCTTTGGCTCTCCTCTCTCTGTCGTCCACATTTTCTTCTCCTTCTCCTTTGTCTCTCCTCTCTCTCTCTCTCATCCATATTTTCTTCTTTGTCTCTCCTCCACATGCCCCTTTCCTCTTTCTCTCTTTTTTCTCCTCCACATGCCCCTTTTCTCTCTCTTTTTTTTTTCTCTCTAGCCCATTAAGTGTGGCTCACCCCACCTAAAATAGCTTAGAGTGGGACGCCCCACCTAATAGTAGCATAGACCTTGGATCAAGGTGTCTGCCCTAATGTGTTTAGGTTTCACTTTTCTTGGTTAGGTTCTCTTATACCTCATATAATATTCTATATTACTGTAATGTTTCACATCTTAAGGAGAATCAACAAGGATTGTTAGCAGACTGGCATCGGACTAGGTGATTCAGAGTGCGGTGTACCAAAATTCTTTCGAAGCAACTTGTTCCAGTAAAAAACTTCTCATTATTCTTGATTCATTTGTTATTATAATTTTTCTGAGTTTTATTAATAAAAGATTTTGTCAGATGGCAGCATGGGAAGGTTCTTGATTTGCAATAGCTTTTTTTTATTGCTTTGAATTGTAAGTGGCAATTTTAAATTGACACGCGAGTGTGGTTCCTAAAAAATTTTAATTTGTAACACACAATCCATGATCTATATAGCCACCTTTCAAATATACTAGTCCCTTATTGATGTAGTTTCGATTCAAACGTATGTGTGAAAAGGTGTAAAGAGTCCCTTGAATTGAAATTTTTGAAGTGCACATAACAAGGGAGTGGTCTTTACACCGATCAAGTGGGATCAGAGCCAACCTTCTCTTAGCCCCATTTCCATTCATCTCATGAGGGATTCGGGTTCTATGCGACCGAGCCCACATATGTAGAAATGCAGGCTTATTAATAAATCTATTTTTGAAATGGATTTTTGGAATTAACTTTTAAAGACATGTAATCTCTAACATGGTGATCATGAATATGAAAAAATAAGTAAATTTTAAAAGCTAGATATAATAATTCTAGTAAGAAAACATTTGGACAGTTAGTTTCCATTGTTTTAGATGGAACACCTACTTGCATCCATCTTTAAGATGGATGCTTTACACTTTTTGGACCGCATATGTAGTCATGCGGTCCAGCCCGCATGAAACAATTTTCCTTTCATGTGTCCTAGATTGTATTTAGGTTTGCAAACGACAAAGCAACCACATGATAAGTGCTTGATAAAGTTACGCCTTCAAGCGGGTACGTTCGATGGCTGAAATTATGTCCATGGGAATGCAAAATGAAGTGGGGATTTGTGCATATTAAGATCCAACACTAACACACTATTGTTTTTGTAAAATTGAGTCACTTATAAAATGAAATTTCATATTGAGGTTGTTTGGGGTCTTGAGTCATTGGAAGAAAAACATGGACCTTAGGGATAGTACATGGACTGGAATTTGATCGGTTTAAGTGGCCTTTGAAGGCCTCATGAGAGCTTGTATGAGTATTTTATATAGTGAAACATAAACTCAGTGGGAGTGTGGTCCTTGTGTGGACCATACATCAGCAAATGTGATTTACCGATGCTCGGACTACGCTCAACATGCTAGGCCAGCCGAGTTTTGGAAAAATCCAATATACCTGGGCATAGGGATCTACCGAGAATGGTTTAGTGGGTTAGCCCTTGTTGAGGTCAGATTATGCCTAGATGAGAGCTGAGGGACTGTACGGCCCTTGCGTGTGATGAATAGCTTTTAGAGACGGGGTTAAAAACCTCATCGTTATCTCATCACATGGCATGTACATAGATAATCGTATTGAGATTTACCAAGGAGGGTGAAATGTGTACATGTGAGAGAGATGACCCTTACGCACCATAGAGTCATGGTTGCATCATGGTCTGGAGGATCATGATTTTTTTTGTCTCTAAGGGAAAACCTGAAATTTATAAACTGATATTACTTCCCTTATTCTATTAACTGACTTTAGTAGTCTAATCATGAGCCCCTGTAGTAGACTATGGGTTGTGGGAACTACTAGGTCAGTTTGAGAAAGCTAGGTGGATTATGGTCCGCCGTTGAAGGTGGAGTGCTCTCGTATATTATTGATAAATTCGTAGATCTAATGGATCTGATTCCCATCAAAATTAATTAGTTCTAATTAATTTTATATTATATAATTTTAAAATGTTTATTTAAAATTCTATAAATCTTCTAATATTTTTTTTGTTATTTGGATTTATATATTAAAAGAA